TGGTTCCAACCATGTTTTATGAAAAAACAATGGAAAGAATTAGTTCTGCCAATGGTAGTAAAATGAATGTTAAATACAAACTTCCTAAGGTGCATGTCTGCCAACAAGATGTTTGTTTTGAGACATCATTTATTTTGGTTAAAGACATGACAGATGCAGTCATCCTTGGTTTACCATTCGTATATCTATTGTACCCTTTTAGTACAGATACGGATGGACTAACAACCAAGCCCTTTGGAACAAAGGTTGTATTTCCTTTTATTACCAAACCAAAAAGAAAACATTTAAGGCAACTAAAAGACGTTTCAGTCTCTAAGTCCCTTAATGTTATTCATAATAAAATTAAACAAGTGGAATTTCTTAAAGAAGAGATTAACCACCTCAGAATTAAAGATCACCTAACCAATCCAATCTTACAACAAAAGATTGAAAAGTTTAGAGAAAAATTAAAAGCAGAAGTCTGTTCATCCCTTCCTACAGCATTCTGGCATAGGAATAAACATGTGGTTAGACTTCCTTATATCAAAGGGTTTAGTGAGGACAATATCCCAACTAAATCCAGACCGATCCAAATGAACCATGAAACTATGGAAATCTGTAAAAAAGAGATTTCTGAGTTATTAAAAAATGGTATCATTCGGAAAAGTAAGTCGCCCTGGTCTTGCCCTGCTTTCTATGTAGTTAAAAATGCAGAATTAGAAAGAGGAGTGTCAAGACTTGTTATCAATTATAAACCTTAAACAAAGTTTTAGAATGGATTAGGTACCCTATACCTAATAAACAAGATTTGATAAAAAGACTCAGTAAGTCTGTTATCTTTTCAAAATTTGATCTCAAAAGTGGGTATTGGCAAATACAGATCCACCCTGAGGATAGGTATAAGACTGCATTCACCACCCCTTTTGGGCATTATGAATGGAATGTTATGGCTTTTGGACTCAAAAATGCTCCAAGCGAATTCCAGAACATAATGAATGAGATATTTAATTGTATAAGTCATTTTTCTATTGTCTATATAGATGATATTCTCATCTTCTCCAGGTCAATAGAAGAACATTGGAAACACCTATATGCTTTCTTTGCATTAGTAAAGCAAAATGGTTTAGTCATTTCAGCTCCTAAGATTAAGCTATTCCAAACCTCAGTATGGTTTTTAGGATACAACATCCAGGAGTCTACCATAGTTCCCATCAGTAGAGCTATCCAATTTGCAGATAAGTTCCCTGATGAAATATTAGATAAAAATCAGCTTCAAAGGTTTCTAGGTTCCCTAAATTATGTTTCTGACTTCTATCAGAATCTTAGGCAAACCATTAAACCTCTGTATGACAGGCTCAAAGGAAATCCTCCTCCTTGGACCCCTGTCCATACTTCTATTGTTCAACAGGTCAAGAAGTTCATTCAAACTCTTCCCTGTCTTGGAATTCCGTCTGTTGACTCCTTCAAGATCATTCAGACTGATGCCTCAGATATTGGCTATGGTGGTATCCTCCTTCAGAAAGAATCTCTTAATTCTCCTGAACAACTTGTTCGATTCCATTCTGGAATTTGGAATAAGACCCAAGCCAATTACTCTACTATTAAAAAAGAGATTTTATCTATTGTCCTGTGTATCTCTAAATTCCAGGATGATATATTAAATCAGAAATTCCTGATACGGGTTGATTGTAAATCCGCAAAGGATGTTTTAACCAAAGATGTTAAAAATATTGCTACTAAGCAAATTTTTGCAAGATGACAATCTATTTTAAGTATTTTCGATTTTGATATAGAATATATTAAAGGCGAAAATAATTATATCCCTGATTTCCTAACCCGTGAATTTTTGCAGGAACCTCATGGCAACTAGGAAACCCAGTTCATCTGGCACCTCCTCCAAAAATCAGGGGGGAAAAAGGATAAACATGTCTTACCAAAACCTGAACCTGACTTGCCAATAGTCTTGTCAAACAGGTATTTGACATTAGGAAACCCTAACCCAATGAGGCCAGTAGCCCCATCACCTGGGCCAATAGCCCAATCATCCTTAGTCATAAGGCCAGTAGCCATTTCAACTACTGTTAACCCATTAACCTTCACCCAAATGGCCCAAAGACCACCTACCAGTACATTAACCAACCCTTATACATCATCCCAATCTTTTGTAGCCCACAAAGGCCCAAGAGTTGATTATATCAAGGCTTTTACCCAGGATGTATTAGCCATTGAATTTGCTCATTCCCAGTACAAGGATCCAAGAGATCTGGTGAAAGCCTACCTCCCTAAAGGTTGGAATTTCATTCCTGTTGATCTTGAGAAACCTCATAGTTTCTACCAAGATATTCTATTTTTCACAAAATCCATTCTTACCAGGCCCATACTAGATAAGAATGACCCATCCAAAACTCTTTATCATGCATTAACTATATGCAATATCATTTCTGTTGAGGAATGGGGTTCTCATCCATCTTTACTCCGAGATCTTCCATTTCACACCAGACAATTTAATTACTATGACTACATTGAGTCATGGTCTAAAATATTACTCTACCAGAATGAGGATTTGAAACATTCCTGGTTCTTATCTTTTTCATAAAGATTTCAAGAGCCGCATTCCTGCGTGGTTCCTACAGTGGTGGCATCAACACGGCCCCATTAGTGAAATCTTTCCAGCTGATCTTTTAGATCAGATTAATATCTTCTCATCGGTTTACCGTCCTAGTAAACACGAGAGCCCTATTCCCCTTTTACTAATATTTATTTGCAGGTACAAAGTCCCATGGATTCTCAAATGGCAATGGGAAATTGTTGGATTCAATCTAGTCCGGCAATTCTATGCCAAATGGTGGTCAAGGTTCCAACAAGGCAACATTATTGCCATGGTTCAAGAGGATTTTTCAGTCAAGGTACCAACTCCAGTAGCAGTTCCAAGTACCTTACTACCAGTCACTCCTAGTAAGACCCAGCCTGCTCAGCAAAGCAGACCCACCCTTCCTGAAAAGGCAGCCCAGCCAGAGGAATCTTCATCTAAGGGTTCCAGTAAGAAATCCAAACGGAAGTCTAAGGCTAAGCTCCTCCAGAAGCTCCTTGACCAACTTAATTCGGATAGTGACTCATCAGCATCTTCGTAAGGATCAATATCAACAGATCTCCCTCCAGGATATGCCCAAGATCCATTTACAGCATTTGAAGATATTGATGACCTCACCCCGGATCTGGCACTCCCGTGAATTATTGTTTACATAAAATGGCTTCAATCACTACTTTCTTCCAATAAAGAAAGAAAAGCTGTCCATTCTATGTAAATCATAATGTCACATTATTTCAACCGAATCTGCTTTTCCACCGAAAGATAGATTCCCAGGACAAAAGCAGGACCCACTAGTCCCTTCTGTCTGTCCTTTTACCATGGGTAAAATCATGTTACTCCACTTTCCAGCCGAAAGCAGCAAATTGAAATGCTTTTACCTACAAGTAAAAACACAAGAAAATGATGGCAAAAGATTCCCTCCGGAGTCTCTTATCCCTATATAAGGCAACTTCATTCAGAAGAGAAGACAGGTCGAATTTTAGCAAGACTAAAATTTCAGACTATATTACAAACCCTCTAGATTTTGTAAACATACCCTTCTCTTGTAAAGCCTTCTTCAATGATAAAGAAGAGCTCAGAAGCCTTTTTATTTACCGCTTATTTCCACTAGACCAATAGTTCTAGTGTTGTAAGTATTTATTTTCTTGTAATATATTACTTTCTGTATTTTCCATTCTCATCTCCTTTCGATTCTATTTCCGCAAATCTACTTCTGCAGTTAGTTGATGTTTGGAGGTAGGCTTTCACTAGATCTCTTGGATCTTTGTACTGGGAATGAGCAAATTCAATGGCTAATACATCCTGGGTAAAAGTCTTGATATAATCAACTCTTGGGCCTTTATGGGCTACAAAAGATTGGGATGATGTGTAAGAGTTGGATAATGTACTGGTAGGCAGTCTTTGGGCCATTTGGGTAAAAGTTAATGGGTTAACAGTAGTTAAAATGGCTACTGACCTTATGACTAAGGACGATTGGGCTATTGGCCCAGGTGATGGGGCTACTGGCTGCATTGGTTTAGGGTTTCCTAATGACAGATACCTGTTTGACAAGACTATTGACAAGTCAGGTTCAGGTTTTGATGGTAAGACATGTTTATATATATATATAGTCCAGATTGAGGGGAAGTGTTTAGAATATTAGAATATTATATGTAAATATAAGAGGGTGTATGTGTAATTCTTGTTATTATGAATTAACTATAAATATAAATGATGTATGAGAACTAAGTTAAATTTTTAACCACTCTCTGTCCTTCTCTAATATTGTGTTAATTCTCTCAAGCTAACATTTGTGATTTAATTTTGGATGTTAATACAAATATGATTATAATTGATAATTTTTTTTACTATTTCATGCCTTCAAAGACGGACAATAACTAGTAGAATTATATGGAAATGAAACTGATTATAAGCTCCATCCAAGTATAATTGTAAATGCCAGGATCATTTCATCCTTGTTTTCCCCCCTAGCTAGCAATGGTAATGTCAAAAAAAAATTTATATATATATATATTGTTTTATTGTTTACAACTCATAGAAACAGGTTACATTGATTCATCAGGGACGATGATACCTAGTATTGAGAGGGGTTGTTGAGATTAGCAGCCAAATTTCATGCACAATAACTCGAAAGCAAGTGGCACAACAATGGATTACAACCATCCCTCTCTTGTTGCGCTCGTCGTCTTTTTGCAACCATATCAATTTAATGCATGCCCAAGAAAAAAATTCTGCATAGCATTTGATTAACAGCTTATAAGCAACTGCCCGCGAACAAAACCTGCTCAAAAACTCGCAGACCTATATACTGCACAATAGTTCAAAACAATTTTTGCATAACTAGCTTAAAGGACCATCTGACTCCAAAGAAATTGCTGACCAACTAGAGTAAATTGAAACTATAAGGCCAATATCTCATTATGTACAGCCACTAGCGACCGAGCTTCCTACGCAACCACTTCTTCCGCAGGGTGGCATCCAATGCCAAAAATGTCTTGGCTTTTTTCTCATCTTCCAAAAGATCACAAGCATCTAATAGAAGCTCATCATCTATGTCTGGTATGGCTTGAAGTGCATCAATGGCACTTTCTATTGTGATATGGTTCTTGTCTGCCTTCTTGTTTACCAATTTAGTGACCATGGTTTCCATGTCACTAAAACTTTTTTGTATGTCCTTGCCAGTTTTCTGCAATTTGCTAGAACGGCTCGAGGCTGATGGTGTCACAGCTGACCGCTTTTTCCTTCCACTAGGTGTCTCTTTTCCCATAACCGGGTTTTTAAGCTGACAAGTTTCATTAATCTCCATGCCTAAAGGACTATGGTCAAATTCATTAACTAGAGTCTGACAAACCACACGTCCATCCATCAATCCGATTCCAAAGATAACACATAGATCATTGTAGTGTTGTAAGATTTTATTTCTGTACAAGATTGCATTCGGATGTTCCTGCCAATAGCAAACAAGAAGAACCAATATTATTTGTAGGGTCCAAGCAGTTATCTGTCTCTTTTACCGTGTTATTGTAGAACTTCCATAATAAGTGATATAGGAATCAAAAGAAGGCTCAAAGGTGTAACAAGCATAGGCATTTTGATCTAAACTATTTTTAAAGGAATAAGAAGTGCACCTTAACATAAGCTTCCCAAATCTTGTCGTCTGCTACAACAATGTGCTGAGTTTCATCCCATGCAAATCCATTCTGATTGAGAAGACCGTTGATGTCGGTGTACTGTTGCATTAAGCATATGTACCGAGTTTCCAGTACATATCTGTCATACTGGAGTCCAAGCTTTTCATTAAATGATGCAACCATATGTGCCCAAGCTTGTACATCAAATGTATTATCAATCTTATTCCCTCGGTGTACCTGCTCTAGCATAAGGTCAATGAAACAACGGTCCATTGAGGGTGTCCAATCTACTACCAGATCTGTGCTAGCAGGGGATCGGTCATCCTTCCATTCACCTACAATTAGAGAAATATAGAGGAAAAGGTTCATTTCAGATGTTGAATATCATCAATAGTTATTCAAATCCTAATTTACCTTTGAATTGCAGTAGGAAAAAGTCTGTAAATAGTATTGCCCATGCATTTAATTACCATAAAGTTTCACAATATCTTTGCTACTGGCAGCTCCAAACTTTTGCCATTTGGCAGCTACAGCTTCCATTATAAACAATGATGTTTACTTTGTAGCTTAAAAAAACGGAGCAAATATACACCAGCTCTTCAAAATTTCCCGTTAAATTTGTTTTTTAACACAGTAGATTTATCACTTATAATGGCCATTACAAATTCTCGCATCTGTGTGCTGACAGTGGTAGTGGAACAACAGCAACTTAGCATGCAGCCCTACCAAATCGCATGCACATGTGCATATTCTTTCTGTATGTCCTCAACAACTAGAGGTAATCAGGGGCTCATTATTGGTGGAAGTTGTGCATATTTCGAGTGACCACATAAGAGAGATATTACCATCCGCAAGCCACATTCAACATGTACACATTAAACAGCATGGGACAATGTACACATATAAACAGACTGTACACATTAAGCAAACTCATTACCCCATACATCAAGCTGCATCAAAAATCATTTGAGATACTCCATTAACGCACTACAAAATAGCATAATGAATTGTATGTAACACATCATGCTTCAAGAAAACAATACACAAATGTCACTAAGAAGCAATTATGTTCTAAGCATCACAAATATCAACATCAATGGTTACCAGGTGCTCATACGCAAAGCAAGCCTTTTTTTTTTCTTTTTGAACTAAGCAAACCTAATTGAGTCAATAAGAGACTGCATAGAAATTAACAGCTTCCTCAAGCTCTGGAAGCGACTTCTTAATCTGTCATCTTGAGACCCAAATTTGGCATTCAATGGTAAAATTATGTGACCCCTGGTTGTTATGTAGAGTTTCTGGTCAATATAATCCCAATGCCCATCAGTGGGCCTGAAATACATGGTCAGTGGTTATAGATGCTGGATGTTTCCCAGCTTCCTCAAGCTCTTGAAATTAATTAGAAATAGGAAACCAAAATATGTGACTGTGACCTGACTGGGTATAGCCTTTGCTGTTGGAGTGGTTCGTCAATTTAGGAAAAATACAAGGCAACCACACTGGGATTTTCTGTACCAGAACATGAGATACCTGAAGATGGCTCCCACAAAGGTTTCATGCTCAGGCCAGATGACTTGATTCTCAGTGATAATTGGGTCGGTTTCAGAAGTAAAGAAGCAAAATGTGGAAGCACAATCTAGTGCAGAAGCTAAATACGAAATCATGTCTCATACACAAGGATCAAAATTTTGTTTCAAACCAGCTGAAACGTTTTCATATCCAAAGAGACCGAAATGAACCAGTTATGGAATCGAAATTCCAATGTTTCAAGAAGTTTCGGAATATTTTTAAATGTTTCGAGATGTTTCAGCATATTTTCACTAATGTTTTAAGATATTCCGGTATATTTTGACCAATGTTTCAGACTATTTTTGGAGATAAATTCCAAATTTTTTCCTATTTCCAAAAAAGTTTTCATTTCCTAGGTAATCGAAACAAATCATTGAAATGAATTTTTTATCATTGCTGATGGAAGATCACCGTTGTCAAGGATCTAAATATTCGTTTCGAAACAGTCAAAACGACCGAAAAGTTTTCATCTCCAAAGAGACCAAAACAAATTAGTGATAGTCAAAATTTCAATACTTCGAGGTGTTTTGGAATGTTTCATGATGTTTCGGCATAGGCTTCCATCAATATTAGTGTTTATTGAACAAGGTCGTTCCATCTTGGTCAATTTTGTCTATACGATTATGCATCCATCTACCATCTTACAAGTGTGTTCAATTCAAATACTATCACATATAACTTTCCCAACATCCACCTCAGAATTTGCATTCTACCCATGCTCATTTGCAAGACTTGATGTTTTAGCTGCTTTGCATTCAATCATGTAGAACACAGATGTCTTACAACTCTTATAGAATTTTTGTAGCTTTGCTGATCACACAATAAACAGCCAGAGCCTATATACTTAATTCACCAAATTGCGATTCTAGTCCCTCTTTCCATATAACTAAGTGTAATTTCCTCACAGACCACTTGATTTTGGGTCAAATTGCATGACAACCCTTGACATTTCCATAATAGCACAGTGATCCCTTGAGTTCACACAGACCCCTTCCATCAGCCAACCATTGGATGGTGTAACAAAAACAAATGAAGTCATCTAAAAAAACCCAATATATCCAGAAATACCCTCATTTACAAAGAAAAAAAATTTGCCCCCAAATATATCAAATGTAAAGAACATTCAACTCCCCCCCCCCCCGGTAAATAATATCTCATTAATAATTTTAATAATCAATCAGTAACAATTTTACAACTCAATTATTTGTTAATACCTTATAAGTTGCAATCTTAAACATAAGTTATATAATTATATAAATACTCATAACTCTACTGATTGAATCACTTGAGCCACATTTATACTGAAAGCAAAGCAAATCTAATCATTATTGTTGCTTAAACTAATTTAATCCCCAAAATTTTAATCTCCAGCCCACTACCAACAACCATTGCACCCCAACCCCACCAAACACCCCAATGCCTAGGACAGCACCACCACTGATAGACCCAACCTAGGCAGCCCCTCCTCCATTCAAGACCTCCACTCTCCCCATCCACCTTACTTCCCGAGCATAACTTGTACTCCCATCATAGCACAACCCCATAAACTCCTCCAGTCACAACAACCCAAAGATGAAAATTCATTTATACTTGAAACGGCCAAAGCGTTTTCGTTTTTAAGGAGACCAAAATGAATCAACAATTGAATCGAAATTCCAATACTTCAAGGTATTTCGGAATGTTTCAATTTGTTTCGAGATTTTTCGGCATGTTCCACCATTTGTAACTTTTAGAATTGTTGCAAGATATTTCAGTATATTTCTACTAATATTTTGAAAATAAGTTCTCAAATTTTTTATCAACTTCCGTTCTGTGTCCGAAATATTTTTGAAATATTTTCGTTTCCTTGGTAACCGAAACAATCCTCTAAAACAAAATTTGATGAAACCACTAAACCACAAGAAATCCCTCCTCCCTCCAAGGTCTCTACCCCGCTTATCTTCCCCCTCCCACCTCTCTCCTTAGAAACACTTCAATCTCCACTCTCCACAATTATATTCTTCCAGGTTTTAATTATCTATTTACACAATCAAACAACATTCATATGACACGAAAAATAATCGTTTTAAGAGAGAACCACTCCATCGCATCTCTCTCTCATACAATGAATCTTTGTGAGCAAGGACTCTATTGTATGTCAATTTTTTTTTTTTTTGTAATTTCTCGCAAAATTGGTCTTTTTCATTCATTACTTGGCTTTCGATTTTTTGGTCTACAAGTTTTATAATCCCCAAATCACCTCTACAACAACGGTGTGGTGTATGGCGAGTGTGTAGGTGGGGAAAAGTAAGTGGAGGCAGTGATATTGTGGGCAAGGGGAGACTGGTGTACATAATGGTTGGCGTGCTTGGTAGTAGGGGGTGGTGCTTTGATCGAGGACTTTGGAGGCCCTTGATCGAGGACTTCGGAGGCCCTTGAACTGGTTTGTGCTTATAATTTGTTGTTCTCTTCCGGTCAACTTTTAAGGTCTTGTCACTGTGCAGTTAGATCTTCTTCTGGGTGTTGGCATGTAGTGTTCTTGGTTTGCTGAGTTACTGCTATCCCATTTTGCTAATTTTTTTCCTAGTAGTTTGTTGGTTTCTACGTTGTGGCTTGCACACAAACTGTTTCTCATCATATTGTTTTCATTAAGCATATTCCCTTATTTTCTATTCTATGTAGTTCTTCATATTTGCATAAATCTGATCTTATTTACATTGACCCATTTTTCACTGATGTTCCCGTTGACACTAATGTTGGTGATATGATTGTCTCTGATGTGTCTTCCTCTTCTGATTTGTCTGTCACTCGTCCCCCTATTAGGCATACTTATGCTCGCAAGACTCTAATCGTCTCTTCTACAACTACAATGCCTTCCTTTTCTCCTGTCAATTAGGTTCTAAAAATGTGGATCATATTACTCGTTATCCTCGGCGACCTCGTAAGTGTCTATATCAATTTGGTTTCTCTAACTATTCTATTCAAATGATTTTTGTTCTTAGCTTCTATAGACTCTTTATATGAACCTACCTCCTATAGGGCGGTTGTTCTTGAAACAGGCTATGGATGAGGAGCCAATTGTTTTACATACAGCTGGCACTTGGGAGTTGATGTCATTACCCTCTGACAAATACACGGTTGGTTGTAAATAGGTTTATAAAATTAAGATCAAAACTAATGGTTTTGTGGAATGATACAAGGCCCGATTGGTAAAAAAGGGATTTGCTCAAGATTATGGCATAGACTATGAAGAGAAATTTGCTCCAGTTGCTAAGATGACCAGTGTTCACACTGTGATTGCAGTAGTTGTTACTTATCAATAGTCTCTCTCTCAAATGGGTGTGAAAAATGTCTTTCTTAATGGAGATTTAACTGAAGAAGCTTTTATGACTCCTCCTCCTAAATTATATCACAGTCTTGGTCAGGTGTGTAAACTCTACAAAGCATTATATGGTCTTAAATAAGCTTCATTGGGGCATAGTTTGCCAATTTTTTTTGTCATTTATGACTTAAGTTTTTGTGCTAGTGACTATAACTCTGCTATTTCTGCGACTCTCTTCCTCCATGTCTATTGTACTTTCATTACACACTCATAATATGATCATTACAGGTGATGATACTGCTTGTATTTTGTTGTTGAAGAGGTAGTTACAGGATTATTTTGAAATAAAGGATTTGGGTTAGCTCCAGCATTTCTTGGGTATTAAAGTTGCCTCTTCTCCTCAAAGTTATCTCCTCACTCAATCCAAACATGACTTGAATATTATACAAAGGGATCGTATGTCATACACTCAAACGGCTAAGATGCCTTCAGAACTCAATGCCCGATATTTTTCCTTTGATGGGACTCCATTATCTGATTCCATGCTATATCACATTATTGTTGGAAGTCTGATATATTTTACAGTTACACGCCCAAACATCTCATAAGACTGTAGTTTACATTGTTAGTCAATTTTTTGTCTTGCCTACCACAGTGGATCTATTGTTCT